CTACTATATATACATCTAGTGATCAGGACAGATTCTGATATAGTCAGAATATTTAAAACATATTGAAAATAATATGCATTAAACTATCCATATGCGTGTTAGGTGTTTGCTTCCAGATAGAAAATGCACCTCAGGTATAGATATTTACCCTTTTTATGCAGATAAATACAACACTGTAAGTATGGTCTAAAATTTCAGCAGATTAGCGACACTAGATCTCATTCGATCGCTAAAAATCAAAATATTGAATCAGTGATAATGCAAGTGGAGGTAGCTGCCACTCTTGAAATATGGAGTTTGCTGGAAATAAGTATTGGAAATATTACAATAAAAAGGAGCGTTCCCCTAACTTTTCCTGAAGTTTTTAAAACTTTCCATTGTTGTAATTTCGGTAATCAACTCCCTTATGGATAATTTAATGCTGAAATTTAATTTTCTTGGGTGTTTTGAAGTAATATGTTATTCTACTTTCGCAGTTGAATGCATGGTAGATGATACTCAGCTTTTGAGTATATAGATGTTTGTGTGGACATAATTACTAGAGGCGGTAATATGTGTGTTTTATGTTGTAGTTTTGTCAAAGTTATAGTTTGGAATACAGTTATTTCATTAAGAAATTGTAGGATATTATATGGATTAATATCAGGAAAGCGTTAATTCATGTTGTGTGTTTGGTTGCTTCATTTTGTTTGATGGCATATCAATCTCGATGGGTTATTTAATGCCAAAATCTAAATATTTTGAACATTTATTTATGCCGCCCTGTATAAGACGATAAACTACATCCGCGTCCTAGATAAGGCGATAAACTACATCCGCGTCCTAGATAAGACGATAAAATACATCCGCGTCCTGTATAAGATGATAAACTACATCCGTGTCCCGTATAAGACGATAAACTACATCCGCGTTCTGGGTAAGACGATAAACTACATCCGCGTCCTAGATAAGACGATAAAATACACCCGCGTCCTAGGTATGACGATAAACTACGTCCAACCGCAAGGCCTCTAATCAGGAAGTTTTGAGGTGCGTGGAACCACCTCTTAATTTCTGGTGTTCCCAGGTTCATATATTAGGGTCCCAGCTATAGGCAAATTGATAAACCATCAAAACTGGGGTCAAAACGTTTAAAAATAGGTTTTAATACCAGCAAAACATTTCTGTAAAAAGATATTACCAGCAATACATTTTTGAAAAAATATTACCACCTATACATTTTTGAAAAACAAATATTACCCGCAATACATTTTTGAAAAAAAAAATTACCAGCTATACATCTTTAAAAATATATATATTACCAGTTATACATATTTGAAGGGAAACTATCACGAGAAATAGATTTTTGAAGAAAAAAATATTAACAGAAATAATTTTTTTTGAAGGATAAAATATTAGCAGAAATAGATTTTTGAAAAAAAAAGTATTACCAACAATAAAAATGTTGGCATTAAATAACTCAGTAACGTTGATAAGCCGTGAAACAAAACAAAGAAAAAATATTTTATGGCTACAACTAAATTTATTTTGAAAGGAATTGTATGCCTTCAACTACAGATAAAATGTATTATTGTTCATTTTGATATAAAATATATTGTTGGTAATTCTACTATGAACATGTATTATTGATAATCTTATAAATAGGTATTGTTGGTAATTTTGCTATAAATATGTATTGTTCGTCATTTTTTTATATAAAAATCTATTCTTGGTCATTTTACTATGAAAATGTACTTTAATATTTTCATTTTGTTTTTGTTCAAGGGTTAACTATTTGCCCATAGCTGGGATCCTAACAGGTGCTACTACCCCTGGTCATGGACGACCTTGGAGCAACAGCAGTTAAGAAGAGAATCTACACTCCAACCTTCCGATGAGAAACCTTGCTGGCGGATGTAGTTTATCGTCATACCCAGGACTTGAAGTAAGTGCCTTGACATAGATGATCATAATTCAAAATAAGTTCTTTCTTTCTGTAGAGAGCATCGTTCTCTTCGCCTTTAAGCCCCAAAATCTGAAATTCATACTGGACTGACATACAATTTTACCTCGGCCTATAAACCCTTTATCACTATTTTCTATCTCTCGCCTGCATTCTATTCTCTCGTTGCGGAAAACGGTTGGGTATAACATATATTCTAACGACGCATTTCGCTATAGCTTTGCTAAGTTCTAGAGTTCGTATGAATTCGCCAATATATTATTGTTCAGCAAGAAGCAAAACAAGTTGAATGATCTCTTTCTGGAAGCAAGTACATAGAATTATAATGACCCACCTCGATAGAACAGCGAGTGTTCATGCGCATGAAATTACGCACTTGCTGAGTATTTAATCTGGAAATAAAGAAGGCCAAGAGACACTGTTGTTATAATTGCTTTAGTCGTGGTTTTCGTTTACTATTTGTTATTAACTGAAAAGGTATGACAATTTATTTGATCCTAATCTGTATCTAATTTTCTCGCTGTCTGCCATTCTTTCTTTCTTTCTTTCTTTCTTTCTTTCTATCTATCTATCTATCTATCTATCTATCTATCTATGTATGTATCTATCTATCTATCTTCGTCTGTTCATATCTCTTTCACTCAGACTTTTCATTATATATTTTCACTCGGTCTGTTCATTATCTATCTATCTATCTATCTATCTATCTATCTATCTATCTATCTATCTATCTATCTATCTATGTATCTATCTATCTATCTTCGTCTGTTCATATCTCTTTCACTCAGACTTTTCATTATATATTTTCCTCGGTCTGTTCATTATCTATCTATCTATCTATCTATCTATCTATCTATCTATCTATCTATCTATGTTCTCTCCGTCTGTTTCTATCTATCTATCTATCTATCTATCTATCTATCTATCTATCTATCTATCTATCTATCTATGTTCTCTCAGTCTGTTTCTATCTATCTATCTATCTATCTATCTATCTATCTATCTATCTATCTATCTATCTATCTATGTTCTCTCCGTCTGTTTCTATCTATCTATCTATCTATCTATCTATCTATCTATCTATCTATCTATCTATCTATGTTCTCTCAGTCTGTTTCTATCTATCTATCTATCTATCTATCTATCTATCTATCTATCTATCTATCTATCTATCTATGTTCTCTCCGTCTGTTTCTATCTATCTATCTTCTCACATCTATTTCTATCTATCTATCTATCTATCTATCTATCTATCTATCTATCTATCTATCTATCTATCTATCCGTCTATCTATATTCTCTCGTCTCTTTCTATCTATCTATCTATCTATCTATCTATCTATCTATCTATCTATCTATCTATGTTCTCTCAGTCTGTTTCTATCTATCTATCTATCTATCTATCTATCTATCTATCTATCTATCTATCTATCTATGTTCTCTCAGTCTGTTTCTATCTATCTATCTATCTATCTATCTATCTATCTATCTATCTATCTCTATCTATCTATGTTCTCTCCGTCTGTTTCTATCTATCTATCTATCTATCTATCTATCTATCTATCTATCTATCTATCTATCTATCTATCTATGTTTCTCTCAGTCTGTTTCTATCTATCTATCTATCTATCTATCTATCTATCTATCTATCTATCTATCTATCTATCTATCTATCTATCTATCTATGTTCTCTCCGTCTGTTTCTATCTATCTATCTATGTTCTCTCCGTCTCTTTCTATCTATCTATCTATCTATCTATCTATCTATCTATCTATCTATCTATGTTCTCTCAGTCTGTTTCTATCTATCTATCTATCTATCTATCTATCTATCTATCTATCTATCTATCTATTCTAAAATTCGCATATGACTGCTACTATATATACATCTAGTGATCAGGACAGTTTCTGATACAGCCAGAATATTTAAAACATATAAAAAATATGCATTAAACTATGCGTGTTAGGTATTTGTTTTCAGATGGAAAATGCACTTCAGGTATAGATATTTACCTTTTTATGCAGACAAATACAACACTGTAAGTATGGCCTAAAATTTCAGCAGATTAGCGACACTAGATCTCATTCGATCGCTAGAAATGAAAAATCAAAATATTGAATCAGTGATAGTGGAACTGAACGTAGTTGCCAGTCTTGAAATATGTAGTTTGTTAACCATAACACTTCTGCATTTTTTTTAATGTCAGGTCAGTCCAGGACTTAGACAATCACGTCTTTTGATTATTTGTAAATTACAATGCATTCTTTTGGAGGACAATGGAGTCGATTCCCGTTTCTTTCTCAGCGATTTAGAATTCAGAGTTGTCCTTTTCTGAGATCCGTTGCCATCCATAGCTGGAATGTTCAGCCTCCCCTACTATTTAATCCATAGCTGATCAGGAGAGAAGAAGCGTATTATATGCCTTTACCGGAGATAATAGTGAGAAATGAATAATGACTACTACGGAGTCACCTGTGACTGCAGTTTGTCACAGTTCCTATATATCTATCTATCTATCTATCTATCTATCTATCTATCTATCTATCTATCTATCTATCCCAGTCTGTTCATTATCTATCTATCTATCTATCTATCTATGTTTATATATATCGAACATTTTTCGACATAACGCTGATTTTTGCACTTTTTCCCTTCCTTTGTCTGATTTTTATCGATTCCAATTCAAATTGGAAGCAGAGATCACAGTAAAATATCTTAATAGTCCAAGCAAGAAAAACAGGAAGTAGTGGAGAGCCATAATGTTAGTAATAGGTCAATTTCTAAACATTAAAGTACAAAATCGTTTACGTGGCCTTTTAGGCGATTAATTATCCCCCGCGCCACCCCTTTCCCACAGACACAACATTACAAGCCTGTCGATACTCTGTCGATATTTCTAAGAAAAATGCCCGACAGCCTTTACAGGCAAACCCCAAAATATCATGTACACAGGTGTGAATCATAATCATTCCCATCGTATTCCATTTGTAAGGAAGAAGTTCCATTCGAACAGCTTCTTCCAAAGATTAGCTGCATTGTGGAAGAACTTCACAAGAGGATGCTTCCCTATCTATCTATCTATCTATCTATCTATCTATCTATCTATCTATCTGTGAAATACTGTTTATATGTATGTGTTTATCTATCTATCTATCTATCTATCTATCTATCTATCTATGTTTATTTATATCTAAAGCTTTTCGACTTAACCCTAATTTTTGCACACTCTCCTTTTTTTTGTTTGATTTTTATCGATTTCGAAACGGTAATCAAAGGAAAATATATTGATAGTTCCAGCAAGAAAGACGGGAAGTTGTGGAATGTGATGATCTTCTACTAAGTATTTCTTGCTCTTTTACGATCCTTCTTGTTTCACTTGCCATTTACTAAAAATTGTTGCTGTTTCCCTCGAATTTTCTTGCCTTTCATTGTATTCAGTAGGCGTTGAATTGTCCAAGTCTTCTTCCCTCATTATCTTCTCAAATCTTTCTTCTATTTCGTTCTGAATGTTAACCGCAGTTGCTATTCGACGCAAAACTTCCCCCTTTCTCATATTGTCAGTCCATGTTATTCTAAATACTCGTAGTTAGATCAATATCTTGCTAGGTCATTCTATTCGCTTCGTGCGGTTTGTTATTAAAAACTCGTGTTCGATAGCAGCGAGGATTCAACTCAGAACAAGAAGTCATTAAGATTGATCAGCGAAAGATTCCTGTAGAAAAACTAATCACCGTTTATTCCGATGAAAAGACATAGTCGCGAGGTGGTGGTGGTGGTGGAGGTGGTGTTGGTGGGTGGGGTGGGGGGGTGCAACTTGATATGTTTTGAGGTGAGGAATTTTCGACAGGGACGAATGAACACGTCCAAAATAGAACATTCAAAAACAAGATACAGATGTGTTGAGACGTCGATCTTGATTCATTTTATGCCGTTCTGAGCTTGAAACAGTCCATTTGTCAGCCCTTACGTCTGACAGAGGTGTTAGCCTCCGCTTAGGTATTTCAACGTGCCCCAGTTTCTATATTACTACTATATTAAATACTATATATATATATATATATATATATATATATATATATATATAGCTACTATACTAAATAATATATATATATATATATATATATATATATATTAAATCTACTATAGCTACTATACTAAATAATATATATATATATATATATATATATATATATACTATACTAAATAATATATATATATATATATATATATATATATTAAATCTACTATAGCTACTATACTAAATAATATATATATATATATATATATATATTAAATCTACTATAGCTACTATATTAAATAATATATATATATATATATATATATTAAATAATATATATATATATATTAAATAATATATATATATTAAATCAAATATATATATTAATCAATATATATATATATATATTTATATTTAATGAAAAACAGACCATTTTAATGTACCATTACAATAATTTATTTCACCAAAATCCTTTTTAAAGGACTCCGTATCATCAGGTAACACTTCCAACAACGAAATGAAAGGAAAAATGGGATTAGAAATTGATGGGTAGTGTAATTTTTGTAATTTAACAGGGAGGGTGATAGTTGTAGTTAACGAGACAAGGTAGAGTATAAGGAGGGGTTAATTTCATATTTCTCTTAAGCATGCTTTATATTGGGGTAGGAGGAGTGACCGAACCGTGACCTATTTAGATGGTTAACTTAACGGAAATGATATATAGGAATGGGAGGGTAGTGGGAGGAAAAAGGAAAAATGGAAAGGAGAGAGGAGACAGACAACAGTAATACAGATATATCTAAATGAGTGTTACGGCATCCTTCTTGGAATTACGATATTGAGTCCCCCCCCACCACTTGGGCAACATGTGACAACAAGGTCAGTTGTTTATTGATGGGTTTCCCGGCCCGTGGGCTCGGGCCGGTCCAAAAAATGATGAATGTTTAAACCCGTTTATTTTTAAAAATAATTTCAGGGCCTTAATATATTTTTTCAGGTTCCTCTCCGTCCGGAGACAAAGAAATATTAAACCGATCAGTCGCTCAGAAATTGAACTACTAACTCCTTGGAATTACCCATTCAGTTTACCAAGTTCTTCATAACTTATATATATATATATATATATATATATATATATATATATATATATATATATATATATATTTAAATCAAATAAAAAATAAAAAATGAAACATTTTCCCCAAAATAATTGGTGGGGTTAATAGATACTGAAGTACACAATGTTTTTTTTTCTCTTCTTTTAATAAATAACTTAGGATTTTGACTTGTATTTGGGTTGCTTGATTTTTGTTCAAGAATTAATAATCAAGTTTAAAAAAAACAAAAAACTTCATTATTAATTCTTAGGATTGCTTAAATCTTTTGGCCAACTTGGACCTTTATGCCTGGAAAAACATGTCGCTACAAGGAAATAAAGCCACTAAGGCTCAAAGAATTACAGAGTGAAATAATATAAGAAAAGCATTATTAAAGAGAGAGAGAGAGAGAGAGAGAGAGAACAATAAGAAAACAAGAATTAAGTAGTCAAAAGATAACGATTGAAAAGATTTTTGAAGATCAAAGTTGACTGATTATGAGGCGCCAGATATTCGACTTCGTCCATTCGCCGGCTTGTAGCTGCATTTAGTTGTCATAGGCTATCCAGAATAGATCTCATGTAAATATAAGTGTGGACACTGGTGTCAGCATCGAATGGCGAAAATCTATTTCATGCTTGAACACTTCTGTTTTGAGAAGACACCTCCGTCTTGATTTAAGTTTCTCAAAACAGAACTGTTCTCAAATCACATTAAGCAAATGACTGAAATATGCTATAAAATATCGAAAGAAAATGGTGAATATGTTAATAACGTGAAAGGGCGAGAAAAAAAAAATCTATTTTTACCAAATAAACTGAACGTATTTTTGATGTTACCCAATAACGAGAAAGGAAAAATGGTAAACAGTTTATAAAAAAAAAACTAGAAATATAAAAAATGCGTAAAAATTTACAGAAAAAAAAAAGCTGCGTTGATATACACGAAAGTTAGGTTCTGTGGTGGAGTGTATGGCGAAAGAGTCGAACGTTGAATAAACAAAAATTATAGAAACGGAAAAGTTTTAGAGAGACGAGGAAGATATGGTAAGAAGTATTTAAAGTTATTAATGAAATGCTTTTGCCGTTGGTAGTACTGCTCAATGCGTTTGGGAGTCGAATCGATTTTTGAGAGGCTCTATCGAAACTGAACCAGCCTCGGGCCATTGGGAAGCACTTAAAAAAACACGTAAATAAAGTGAGAAGAACGTTCTTCATGTGACGTAAAAGGTACGAATGTAATGCACTAAAGAGATATATATATATATATATATATATATATATATATATATATATATATATATATATATATATACAATGAATCCTTCATACAAAAATTAAATTAGTAAAGTTCGCTAACTAAATTTTAAAGATACATTAACCCACTAACCACTCGATGAATGTTATGAAGCTTGTTTTTCATTTTGTTTTTTTGTTTTTAAATTATAAACTATATTAGCTCTCTCTTAAATATGCAAGTACTTTCGACGGGTCCTCCTGTCATCATCAGTCATAGAAAATATTTTATTTTTCGTAAAATTCCGGTAGTATCCGAGACAAAAAATATAATGCAAATCGAAATATATATATTTTTTAAATGTGTTATTGATAACAGATACAAACTTGTGGAGTGTGCAGTCGCAACGCTAAGGTTGAATTTTTGAAAATCTAAGTGAGTGTGTTTTTTTTAGTAATATAGCAATTTAAGAATGATTTTATTGTAAGAGTTTATCAGTCAACGTGGCATTATATATATATATATATATATATATATATATATATATATATATATATATATATATATAATATTATCAAATAAATTCCAAGTGAATAGTGGTTGCCCATAACTAAAAGTTTCGTACATATCATCTGACGGTTCTGATAATTTCATGAAATCTCATAAAACCTTAGATTATGGTCCGCCATTGTCCACCGGAAATTTATTTAGTAATATTAAGGCTCTGCCAGTTAATATCACATTGGGCTCTTAGGATATGCTTGCTTTATTTAAATTATAATATATAATATATACCGTATATACTCATGTATCAAGCGACCTTTGAAGACCTAATTTTGAAGCTAATTTGAATACAGTTCTTAATTTCGCACATGCGCGTTGTTTGTTTTTGATTTTGTTGAATGCACAGCATAGTAGGGTCAGTTGGGCACCGTCTGTGAGAAAAAAAGAACACCATGACACATTTCGCTTCGCCAGATATTTGGAAACGGCATGCCGTACTGCTTGGCATTTTCGCCGGAAGCTCCAATTTCAGAGTGTTTGGGAGACAATTTGAGGACAGTGCAGAAGGTTCGAAAAAGTCTAATGGTGATTATGTAGGTATTACAGCTCGGAGAAATCATTTTGATCGTTCTGAATTTGTTAGTGAAGGCCATAGGTCTCAACACGAAGGCTCGCATAAAGTGCCTTGAAGAGGTAGTGCTGGCCTGAGTCAAGAGGGTGGCTGCTGGACGACCCTGTGTCTGGCAACAGGATTCTGCACCATGCCACACAAGCAGAAGAAGCCAGTCATGGCTGTCAGACAATTTCTACGACCCCATCATCCCATACATATGGCCATCATTATTCCCCAGACTGCAACACGGAAAGTTTTTTAATTTGCTCCCGGAGTCAGTCTCATTCCAAAATGGTATGTTGAGCTATGGCCTCTAGGAATAAAGTTGAAAACGTTTGACATATTGACATTGGCATTTATTATATAAATTTATTATTTTAGTGTATTTATTTATTTATTAATCATTCGCTACTTATTATTTTTTATTAGTTATTAACTTATTTATTTTAACTTATTTATTTTATTCTTTATGTTTATTTTATTTATTTATTTATTTATTATTATTATTATTATTATTAGATTTCTGCTATGGACACACCCTACCAAGTCTGCGGAAAGACCTAAGGCAGGTCGTGGTGTGTTGTTATGGCCACATTTCATGTTAATTTTTTTTTTTTTTTTTTTTTTTTTTTTTATCTCCGATGAAGTTGCTAGCGTTACATAGACAAAGTTCTCCTTAGTGTGTGTGTGCTGTAATAAGACAATTTTCTGTATGTCTCTTAAGCTGGGGTTTCAGGGATTCTTTCAATGTGTTGTTTTGTTCCATTTTTATAATTCCAAGTGCACCTATTACCACT